TTGAACGATCACGTTATTCTATTATTTTCCGATTACGAGACAATATTTGCGTTCTTGAAAACCTCGTCGCGTGCGCGGCGCGAAAAATATATCTTAAATATCACTTTAATCTTAATCTTTTTTTGAAATTATTTCAATCTGATGTAAAAGATATATATTTAAAGAATTATTAAGTAAGATTTTCTATGTATATGGGAGATTCTAACAAATTTTATGCATGATCAATATATTTTAAAAATCCTTGGACTCACTCTCTCTCTCTCTCTCTCTCCTCCCCCCCCCCTCTCCCTCTCTCTCTCTCTCCTTTATATTTTCTCATATAACAAAGCATTGTCACGATTCATTTCTCTGATTGTACATTAGAAAATATTTTAGAAGAGGTACGTGATGTTAAATATGTATAAAATAATAAATTAAAATTAATAACAAAAAAAATTGTTTTCAAGTTGCTAATATTACTAATAACAATGACATATTATTTTTATGCAATTTGATAATGATATTGTCCAAGATTATCATTTATTTATTTTTTCTGCATATTTTTCATCCAAAAATATATGTAGGTATCAACTATATAATTTTTTTTTTTAAATTCATCAACATTTAAAAATATAAAAAGATCCGTCCGTAACGTTCCTGCGCAATTACTTAATAAAACATGTTCGTCATTGCGTATACATTGCTCTGGTTTTCGTAAGCGAAGATAATACCGATAATCATGCTTAGAGTTTTGTAACATTGCGTATATCTTGACGTATAGATAGAAACGTTGGGTTAGGTTAGGTTAGGTTATGTCCTTACCACAACAGATTGTTGCAAGACCAGCGTTCGCTTTCACTCTAGCGCTGACTCAACGATACGCATTAATTAAGGATCTGAATTTTATCATCACTCGCGCGAGAGACCCTTATCTCTTCCACGAAATAATACTCTTTGTTCTCGTTGCGTTAACCGTTTCTCGACTGCGCATTAAAATGTTAGTGACATTGATTATCTTACCTTTGCTCCGGATTCTGTCGAGACGGCGTCCTTCTTCCACCTCTCCTTCTTTCCGTCGATTTAAACTTCTCCGGCCTCTTGCGACACTCCTTCGTATCCACTACGAAGATTCCGCTGTATCGAGGGTCTCGCCAAACATGGGAATGCTTCTCGTCGATATCTGGACGCGATGACACAATCTTCCACCATGAGGGAGATAGAGAGAGAATTCACCGATGATCGTTCAACGACAGATGAACAAATCCGATCGCCTCGCCAGCTAGGTCAAATTCCAGCCTTCGTATTTTCTTCCCTTTGTCATAACAGCGAACTGTCGGAAGCGAGCGACAAAAGAGAGCGAGAGAGATAGATGCACAAAGAACGTATATATGCGCGGTATCTATAGAGACGGACCACCGATCGAGCGAACGGTTAAGACAGAGTTGGCGACGGGATCACTTTACGCGAGAATCGGATGAAACATCTCGCGTCGCGACGTCACATCAGGCGACATGTGTAGAGCCGTCGCCGTGCGAGTAAAAATAAACTCTACACAGGATATTCTCGGACGGCGAACGATGGCGATGGCTCGGAGTCGCGCAGTCGATCCAAGTCGACACACGGCGTTTTTTCCGGTCATGCCGGACGTCGAATCGTATACTCACATGACGAGACGCGAGACGATGGACGATATCATATTAACGGATCTTGCGTCTCGACGGGACGCACGCGAACGGCTAGAAACGAACGACTAAATGCGGACAGCCGTCTGTAGCACCGCTGCTCACAGGTCAGCCATGTTGGACTGGCAGCTGGCTGAATGCTGCTTGCTGCTGCGCGCTGTGACGTCACGGCGTGTTTTGATCACGTGACGCGTCAGCACCGTATAGATCGCGAGTTTAACCAAGTGCATTTAATCGAGACGATGATGCTAGTAAATTCTTGCTTCATAAATATTAGATGAATTAAATCGATTTGTTTGTTCTTTTTTTTTCTATATAACGTTTGTAATCAGATTTTAATTTTAATTAATTTGAGAAAGTTTTAAGATGTGCCACACAATTGGAAGCATTCATAATTTTTTTTTTTTTTTTTAAGCTATTACGGATTTCACTGACGTGCTGTATTAAAGTACGATTAATCGTAGTTTTTTATATTAGGCAATACATTTCACTGAAATTTTTCCAGACATTTCACCGATTTCAAAAATTGCAAGCATAAAACGTTTTCTCCCGGTGACCCGCTAAGCACGTAAACAAACAAATTTTCCAGTCACAAGAGAGAGAAAAGAAAACTAAAAACTAGGATAAGAAAACAGAAAAAGAGAGAAGAAGAACAGGAAAATTCCATCGGCGGAACGTCTTCTGGTTCACCACGAGACTGCAAACAAACACAAATCCTGCGGTGAAAAAGGAGGAAATGTTGACTAGAAATCTTGATAATTATACGTAAAGCTTTCTATACCAGGATATAAAAGGAAGGTTTTTTTTGTTTACCCGCATTCCCATAAATTTTTCATTAAAAAAGAAGAATAATATCAAGATAGAAGAATGAAAAATTTGATTTATACCACGAATATCCAGTGCTTTTCGTATTTGGCACGATATAATATTAATAACGCATGATTAATAAAAGCTCAGAAACTCATTTTCATTGAATAATCTAACTTTGCAAATAAAAAGAACTTCCTCTCCAAATTTTTAAAAATTCACATATTTTAAGACGTAGAAACCGAATGTGTTCAAAATACATAAAATATGTATATAAATTTCGATAAAATCGGGAGGAGAGGGGAAGAGGAGATTCTTTCATTAATTTATTTCGTTCCTTTAATACTTATAATACTCGAACGCAATTATACCTGCAGCTCAAACATTCCGGTGTTACAAATAATCGCGCAATATTGTAGATAAGCCGAAAGTCAGCCATATTGCATTCGCATTAATATCTAGGAATTTCGGAATCAGATTAGTTTTAACAGAACTGGATCAACCGTAACGGAATCGAATCAGCTCTAACGGAATCGGAAATTGAGATGTTTATACCTCGCGCGTGATTACATCGGAACATTAGTGCAGATTTAATCGCGATCGAGGCGGTGAAATAATGGAATCAGTAACTGTAATTAATATTATCGTTGTATAACTAATACTATGAACGCGGCAACTCTATGATTATCTTACGGTAATTATATATTACGATATAACTATACATATTACAGTATAAGATTTTCATTTCATCATCCGAGTTATGATTTTATAATATTAAGAATAAAATATCGTCTTGTAAATAAATCAGATGATTTTATATCGAACATTTATGATATAACAAACGTGCTTTAAAAATCGAACCAAAAATTACTAGAAAACTCTTTCTCTTAATTATTCCTATTACCAAAAAATAAAAATGTGCATTTTCAGGGGAGAAATATTCGCTCATCCGCCTGAAGAAGAAGGAAAAAACGGAAAACGCTGAAAAAACTCGGGGGTTATATGCGGCATATGTATGTCGATAAGTGAGTACAGTACAGTACTTGAAGATGCGTGTCGCACACACGCGGTGAGAGAAGATATAGGCAACCACGACTCCCCCCTAGGCGCCCACCACCCTGCAACGGTATATATCACTCTCTCTCTCTCGCGCTACCCGCGCGCGCGACCCCACGCGTCTCGCAGTCGGTACTACGAGTCTAGAACACCCTACCTTCATGACAGTCTCTCGTGCGATGGATAGCGGCGAAGTGAGGCGCGACGTTCCGCGTTGAGGCGCGGAGTGGGGGTGAGGAACCGAGAAAAAGAATAGGGGAGGGAGAGAGAGCGCGCGCTCGCTCGACTAGCGAAGAGGCCGGGAGGTGGGGAAACGTGGCGGAGCGGGAGAAGGTTTGACAGACTGGTGGGAGAGGCGCGCGCGACGTGGGGAAGGTGTACGGGTCGCGGGAAGGAGCTTTGCCTCCCTGCCGTCCGCCCGCAGTGCGCGCTACGCGATATCACTAGTCGGTCATGTATGTGTCACTCTCACGTTCACATTGGTACCGTTCGGAGTCTTTCGTTAACCGCGTTGGTGGTATTGCTACCGCCGTTCACCGTCGCGTAGTGTGTGATGTCCGATAGTGTTACACCTGGTGTGCGTTCCGGAAGTTGAAAGTGTGTCCGGTTCGAGGGGTCCGTGCGCGCGGACGTCAACACACAGTGCAGGAGAGTAAGCGCCGTCGTTCTCTCTCCCTCTCCCTCTCCCTCTGTCTCTCGTCACATCGGTCGTCTTGAACCGATCGCGCGCGTATCGGGACATATTATATACCGATAATACGAAAAAGTGCGCGCGCACTTGGGTCGGTGGCGCGGAGAATCCGCCGTAGAGAAGCGCGCGCGCGTCGAGAGAGCGGAGAGAAAACAGGAAAACACGGTGAAGTGAGACGCGAACGGCGAGAAGATAGCGCCGGACAGAGAGGGAGAGGAGTACGTTTGAAGTGGTACGTTTGCGCGAACGACGAGTCTCGTGGCTGTTTTCACGGAGAGAAGTCCCTCGTTCGTTGGCGCGCGCGTTCATCGAACGCAAAGAGAAATAAGGAGTGGCTGAGTGCGGAGTGTGTTGAGTAAAGGAAGGAGCGAGATAGGGAGAGTGACCGGCCGTCGCCTCATCGGCCTCATGGCTCTGTTGTTTAATGCCCCTTCGTGATCGCGCGCGACAGGAAGAGATCGGCCGCGGAGTGTTGCTTTGTGCCGTCGAGGAATAGTGATCGCTCGTGACAGTGTCCGCCGTCGCGTCCCCTCCCCCGCTCGTACAGTGCGGTGCGTGCGCCCGTTGTTGTTTTTCCTTTTTGTTTTTGGGGGCGAGGCACGCTCCTCGGAGGATAGAAGGAAAAACCGGGTCGGCGACAGGGAGGCCGGGAAGCAAGAGAGAGAGAGAGAGAGAGAGCGAGCGGAGCGAGAGAGAAGACGGAAGAGGAGCGGGAACAGTGGGGGTGGGAGACAGGGGGCGCCTACTCTGGCGCGCGGCGGGACGCGGGGGGCGGGGGGGGGGGACGGCCGAGGGAAAGGGTGACTGGCGGACCCGGCTGTGGCGATCCGAAGTCCAAGTCGCGGATTCGGCACGCCGCGGTCTACCGATCGTAATATGGCGTACAAGTTTCGCGAGGAGATCGTGGGAAAGAGGTTCCTCTCGGTCAGTGGTTTCACCAAGCTGAAGGTGAATAAGATTAGTGAGTGGGGTTGGCGTGCGGGAGTGATACGTGCTGCCAGTCACAGGGATAACGGCTGTCATGATCTTCAGGTGAGTCATCCACCATGAAAAGAATCTTTTATACTTTCCTTTTCTCGTAACTCGGATCGCCAAAACGTTTAGAGGAGATGATGATCGGTAGTTATCATAGATTCGCCCGCGGGTAGACGATAATATGTACACATAATACACGACGTCTCGCGCCGCGCCGTTTGTGTTTACATCAGCGCGTGACCTTTCGTGCGTTGTCCCGAGTACGCTCGCCGGCTCCTCGACTCTCGACGATTGACGATTGTTCCGCGAATCATCTTAACGACATATTATTGTTACGAGAAATGGAATTTGTCGTATTAATCCGTAGAGTTCGATGGTAAATATGCGGGCAAATACAGTGTGTATTATATTAAATAGACAAATCGTGTCGCGAATATTATTTTCGTAATTCTTTCGGAGTTATCTCTTCTTCTCTCTTTTATCAAAAAATTATACTGTATATAAACTAATATTATAATTATATATTAAATTGTTTGTATATATATTACGCTTTTGAAAACGATGCAATGATATATCACGATATTTCAATTGAAATTATCGTTATTACAGACGATGAGAGAGTAAATTCCGAATAGCGAATAATATCTACGTTATATATATTATTAATTGTGAATATTTTTGATTTTTGTGAAAAGATTATAATGAAATTACCATCGATCTCAGCGTAGATGCATATTTCTAAGAATTATAATTTTATAAATATTTGCACATAAATATAATATTGAGGATTTTCTTGTAACTTGTCTCAGCAAGAGACATATATTCGAGATAAATAAATTGAATAAACGTTCTTGTAAAGTAATTTGATGATGCGATAGCTGCTTGATGTCTATGTTTTTTAATGCAATGCAGTTATATAAATGTTTGCATATTTTCAAAGGATATTTTTCGGATGTCACGTATCTTAGACAATAGATTTAAAATCGCTGATATCTATCGAAATACTTTACAAGTACAATATGTTTGATATTTTATGCAAATTTCGATATATCTCGAATTTATATGATCATAGAATTGCATATTTTATTCATATATATATATAATTCATATAATAAAATTGCATATTATTTATATAATATAATATTACATATTATCATGCGTGGCTATTTTTTACGTGCGGAAACGCAATTATTGGAAGTTGGCTTCATTATTAAATCGCAATGTTTACAAAACGGCAAGTTTCTAATGGTATTATATCAATATCATTATTATCAATAACCATCAATGTTTTAATCGTCAATATAATAAGCCAAGATGAATTTAAAAATTAGATCAGAATCTTTTACCAATATATTAAAATAAAATTTGTTGAGGCGTTAAAATTTCGTGATCTACATAGATTGCACATATTTTTAAAAATATCTCACATATAGATCTAATCTTTTATAATTACAAATTTTAAAGCTTGAACACAAAAGAATTCATGCTCGAAGGATTCGCGGTTGTCGGTTGATATAATTACGTAGGTTTACCTGTCAGTTCTTTTTTCTTTTTATATCGAGTCACAACTATTTCAGTTTCCGAGGACATTGGCAACTTACGTATCAACGCCAAATACAAACAGACACACATACATCCGCGAGCACGGTGCCTGTACACTCGACGTACATTTTCCGCGTTACTTTGCCAGTAATATTTGCCAATTATACCCTGTAGCCAAAGACCGCAGATTATTATGCCGGTAGAGCGTGAAATCTCGGAAAATCTCGACCTTGCAAGCTGATTTTTCCATTGCTTTACAACGATGAAATTCATAATGCTGAATTTTGATCCGAATAAATCGCGCATTCGAACAGTCATCTTCGCGGTTTGATTACACAACGAATCGAATTTTGGAACACTCAGACATGCGCGCGCAAAATTAATTCGGAGTACCACTTTAGTGGCAGTACTTATCTCTTACGAAACAGTTGTCCTCGGATACCACTCATTGGCCAATGAAACAATTATCTCGATGACGATAACATTAATTTACTTATGTATTATTATAATAATTACCAGCATAATTATCGAGATGTTTTCGCAGAAAAATATTAAAATCTCAGTTATATATATTATAGCAGAGAAAGATTGCTATAGTTTGAGAATGTTGACATGTATTATGAGAAATATAATACACATAAAAAATATTGTTATATTTATATTAAAATATTATTTTAACATAATAAGGGAGCAAGAGAAAGTTAAATACAATTCTGTCAGTATCACTTGAGTATCTGAACAAGTTTTATTTTAGATTACTGTAATGCATTAATGTTGTAATTAATATATATATATATATATATATATATATATATGTACATTTGCGAATTGTCCATTAGCAATGTATTTAACATATATTCATGATTTGCATTTCGCGTTGTTGATGATTTTCCGCGAAGTAAAAATAAAGAGAAAGTATTTTGAGCGAACCATTATTATAATTAATAAATATTTGCAATTTCACGAAGAATCGTCTTTTTATAATGGATAATAAAGATTATTAAAATTGTTAGTCATTTACATATAGTTTTTGTCTATAATACTCAAACTGATCTAGATATTTTATCTAAATGAAAAATAAATATCAGCAGTTATTTCTTCTTAATTATCTGTTTAAATTATCTACGCAAAATATGCGTAAAATATCTAAAAAAAATTATTATCCGACATATTTTTATTAGTAATATGTACGTGTAAACTATTAAATTTAAAATTTAATAAAAAACTTTCTAGTTTTACTTATTTTGTCAGTATTAATAATACATTTCATATGGGTCTTCTCATTCTTAAAGAATTTTAAAAAATTTAACAAGTATAAACCACGTTAACTATATACTGAAAATTCTTTGCACATTATCCCACGGTTCAAATATTCCTTCCGTAAACTACGTCATTTATCCAACCCGGCACCGGTTGTCAGTTGCGATGCAATCGATCGATCTCCGACACTCGGAGTTAATAATACCAGTATTTATTCGCGGGACTCATTAACGGGTCGCCCGGTTTCAACTATCCCTAATGACCCTTGCGGCGTCTGCGAATTTATCGCGGCGCCAAGGAGCATCCGGACGTCACCCGGAGTGAATTTAGTTGACATCTGTTTAGTATTTGCCGCTCTAAAGGATCAACGACTACAAACGCCATTAAATATTCCGGGGTCATCGCCGCGCAGACGAGTCCGCTTTCCGGTTTTCTCGACTTGATAAGTGCTTTCGCGTTTTTTGGCTCGTAGATAATCCTGTGGTTGATGAGAAGCCCTTCCAGTTTCATCGGAGGTGCAAGGTGAAAGTTATCGAGTCATCTTTATTTTAATTCTGGCAAATGATAATCCTAATGTGAAAGGTATCCGAAGTAAGTAAAATTGTTTTTCTCGAAGAAAAAAATTGTTGTTTTCTTTCCTGTCTCTCTCACTCTCTGCCTTTGTATGTCGATAGTGTCGACGATAAAGAGAAGCACCTTGAAGTATTGACAAGTCGTTGAAATATCGAACGCGTAGAAAATAGGTATTTTATCGATAAGGACGTACTAGTATGAGACTCGCGCGCTCGTCACCTTGAAACTTCTCTTTGCTAACTTTAGACATGAAATGATGCATAACTCAACAATGCACTATAAATCGCAGGATGACAATGAAATGTGAGAGACGTAGTATGTAATTATATAAAATAGTTTTTTATTCTGATTAGCGATTTTGTTCGAAATTATATACATCGGATCCCTTAAGAAGATTCATTCGATGCAATTCAAAGTAATTCGAGTATTTATAGAAAAATTTGCTTTATCCATAAATATTGGGAAACTTAAAAAAAAGGAAAGATATTTTTCGAGCTCTTTATCAATAGATTAATATATTCAAAACATAAAATTGATTTGTGGATCACAAGCTAAAAAAACAAAGAATTATAATTATATAATTATCTGTTTAGAGAGAAAAATTATCAAGAATTAATAATCATTTTCATTCAGATATCTCACATATAAAAAGTTTAAAATTTTTGGTGAACTATATTATTGTTGTATTATTACTTTCGCTATTTCACAAATCTGTTTTTGATAATTAGAATGTATTTTTTATAACTTTTTTCAATTATTTTTCGAAATATACTCCATTCTATTGTGAACAATCTTTCGGAAAATGTCTATTCAAGTAAAACTGGTTTTCTTGGTACGAAAATGTATTATGACGATAATTTTGATATATAAACCTTCCTATTGTTTTAATGCAGCTTTCTTCGCGCACCTGCTACATCTTCGAAGAAGCACCGTTATATTTGGTGCACGAAATGTACGAAGTGCCTGGTGAGAAACGCCGCGGTAACGCGGTTATGCGGGATGGTACATTGGTCAGGAAGAAATTCCGGGAGGGACAGGGGGAAATTTGGACCACCAGGGATGAAGGGGGAACTGTTGCAGGGACCAGAAACGTGGCGGTGGTACCCCTGAATTATCGAAAACTCGCGATCGTGCTACAGACCCTGAAATTTGCGGTTCGCGAAACCGCGTGCCGGCCACGTACTATGTACCCAACACTTTCGCATAATTTGTATAGCGGGGCGATGTTTCGTTACCGTTGAAAATTGCGGGGGAAATTTCGGGTCAAAACGGACGGGGGTATCAGGTAAATTCAGTGACCGACGATAACACTCGCACGTGCGAAACGGGTCCCGGCGAACTTTTCGAGAGATTTATTATTTATTTTAATACGATGTAAGTCTCCGGTTTTGAAACATTGCAACTTCTGATAAGATACAAACGAGATTTTCGATTTTTCAGACATCGCTTTTAGAATAAATGACACGTTTGTGTGTCTCAACAGAAATAAACGCGTGCTTGCGCGTGCATCGTGCACGCGTATCTGTGTGTGTCGCATTCTACGCAAAGATTCTTTTTAAGTTACGAAATGTTATTTTTTCATGAACGCATGTTGCATTCTATCTTATCTTATCGGGAAAAAAGTCAGTAAAGTCATGGTCATACCATTCGCAATGAACTCCTTGTATCGCTTTAATGCCTAA